CACCTGTCACAAACACATGCAAAGGCAAGTCAAATGTACACATAAGTGAAAAAGCAGTAAAAATAGGGAACTGCATTACGCATGATTTTTTGGTTTCTCTCTATCTCCTATTTGAAATATGCTGTGAGGACTCCATGAGGTTGCAGTACTTGAGGCATGCTTATCAAAAATACATATCCACGTTTAAACAAACAGCCTCGTTCGTAAAGAGGTCAGGACTTTGTGAAACTCTATACGATTTATAGGGTCCATTCTGGCTTGAAGTGTTTATCAACATCCACGGAGATCACCATCTGGCATCCAGTATACTCTGCACAAAATGTAGTTTGATTATTTCCCAAGGCCCTCTCTAAGATGTAAACGAAAATGTATTAAAACTGCTTTGATAACACCTCATGCAGGTGGTGATGTAAAAGTTCTCTTTGATGTTGCTGTTGACGTATCGCCGTGGAAATTACATTTTGTATGAACCCTCTTAATAAATCGTGATTTTGATAGATGACTTTAATTCAAAAGATGCTTTTTGCACATGATTTTTACACATAGAGCAATATTGTCGAACACATGTTTGAAACACACTCAACACACATGTTGGGACACAGATGGCTAAGACCTACAAGGTGCCACAATTCGCTGTGCAGAGTTACGTCCCTTGGGCGTATCAGAATCCTGTGATCGTCGGTTCGTATCCCAGATTCTTCTTGATAATGATTCTCTTGGGTTTCCGAAGTGGAAGCTGCCTAAGACCTGTATCACACTGTAGTTTCGTTCTCATTAAGCGGATACTTCGTGTAACATGAGTATAACTGTTCAAATCTGTTAAACAAACTCACCACTGGATAATGCTTGGCTCGTCACGCCGAACACATGCTCACATGGGTTGGATTACCTCTTGGGTAAATCTGCGGAGTCCATTGTTGGTGTCCCCTGGACTGGCGTCGCTGGATAACTGATACATGCGGATAACGTATCCCCCACTCATGTCTCAGAGGAACGAATTCCAATATATTGAGTGGGTATTGTTTTCCGCCATGTTCAACACAATTCCAGCAATATCAAGGCGGGGACACCAGAAATGGGCTTCACACACTGTTCCCATATGGGGAATCGAACCCGGGTCTTCGGCGTGACGAACGAACACTTTAACCACTTGGCTACCCCACCGCCCACATTTTGATAAGCGTGATGGTTAAAAAAACATGTGTATTAAAGAGAGCTACCATGAATCAAACAGAAACGTGCTTAAGACGTAAAATATGTCAATAATATTAATATATTAACCGTACAGATAACAAACACAAACCTACTATTAAATGATAAAAAGAGTTAGTTTACCAACATGTGTCAGATGAACACCTATTTACCACCCATGTATTAACTACACAAGTTACTGTGAGTGCTCCAGCCCAGAATGTACCAAGAGGGGTACATTTCGCCATATAAACATGTTTTCAAAATTTACCCCTGGAGGTCAAATACCCCAGCTCCAGAAGTGGATCAAATTTCTTACCCTCATGGGGTCATCTCCTCGTATTTCATTAATGAGACAATCACATGTAGATGTCTGGCTAGAGCATGGATTTGGCGGACTCATATTTTATAAGCATATGAGCGAAGTGTTTTACAGTGAAACGTTTGCTCAGTTAGACACTGGTTGTAACTTATAACACAAATTCAGGATTACTACAAAGTGTTCATAGTTAATATGTTACCGGTGGGGGTGAGCACCCTTTGCTTATATTTATTTCAACGATTACGGTAATATGTATGGTTGTTGTTATTGTCATATACTGTATGTCTTTAGGATTCCGGGGGCGGTCGGGTAGCCTAGTGGTTAAAGCGTTAGCTCGTCACGGGTTCGATTCCCGAAATGGGTACAATGTATGAAGCCCATTTCTGGTGTCCCCCGCCGTGATATTGCTGAAATATTGCTAAAAGCGGCGTAAAACCATACTCACTCACTCACTTTAGGATTATAATGTTTGTAATCATGTGAACTACATTCTTCATGAATATTAAACTTGGTTTAAGATACTTGAAAGCAATCTCCGCCTCGTCCTTTCATTTGCAAATGTGCAAATTACCCACACTTGGCCACAGATGTCAGTGTTGACAAAGTTAGTATGTGTTCATTGCATGAACTCTATTAGTAATGACACGTGCATGTTAATGTGCATGTAAATTGATTGCAGACTATTTGCCGAAAATGCGTTGTAAATAAACATGTGTTAGCATTGCCCGTAGGGAGATGAAGGGACGAGGTTAAAAACATCCATTGGAGACACTCGTCATAAACTACCGCCCCTTAAGTGCAGATTGGGAAATATTCCCAGGCGTGTCGCATTGTGGAGGAATGTCGACTGTTTGTCTGGGTGAACTCATACGTGTAACTTAACCTCTGTCTCCTGCTATGCTAGCTACGTTTGCATCCCGGGGATGAGCAGGTCTCTTGTGCTGGCGGGGGCACGGGTGGTCCAGTCGTCTAAGGCGCCGCGATTCGCTGTGCAGATTTGTGTCCCTTGGGCACGCCAGAAACCTATGATTGTAGGTTCGAATCCCGGTTCGCCACGATTATGTTTCTAGGTTTGTCAGCACCATACCTCTGCTCGTGGATTTCACCGAAGTGCATCACTTCGGGCTTTCCTCCCACATTAAGCTGACACGCCGTGATATAACTGGAATACTGTTAAAAGCGGCGTTAAACCCAACTCACTCACTCACTCTTGTGTTGACTCTAGAGACAACAAATGGGGATCAGGTGGCCTGGTTCTGTAACTTGGTTGATTGGGTGTCATCATACCCAGATGGTGTGTGCTCAAGCTGTCAGTCACTGGTTTGATTCCACCGAGTCCATTATTTACATTGCAGCCTGCGGTGTGAAACATGCATGTAACTTATACTTGCTTTTATGATTTAAGATGAATGCATTGTATTGTGAGCTGATGTGAAATAGAGTTTAACGTCGCGTTCAAGATTATAAGCGACGCGTGTGTGTGTGTGTGTGTGTGTGTGTGTGTGTGTGTGTGTGTGTGTGTGTGTGTTTGTGCTTGTACTCCCCCAAACTAGTGTCCGTTTTGTAGTGCTAGTCCACGAGACACCATGCCGCAGGGAAACATGGATACTCACCCGGGATTCGAACCTACACCCCTATAGTGAGGCACCTAATCACAAGCATACATAGTCAGCGATCTAACCCACTCAGCTACGAGGCTTCCTCAAACTTGATGTCCGATAACTGGTAGTCTAGATCACGTATTTCTCTGACAAAAGTAAACAGGCAGGGCTTCCATGGCCTACAGCTATGAATACACAAAGCCTCTTCGAAAGTGGTCGAATGTCACAAATGTTATATTTGGGATAACACTTTCTTCGTAAAGTACAAATTCTCGTACGTTTTGGGTTTGAGTCCCATCCGGGATTCGAACCTACACTCTCTGTGGCTGAGCGGGGTAGATTGCTGACTTTGTGTGCTGGCGATTTGGTGCTTCACTCTAAGAGAGTGGATTCAAACCCTATTAATTGGATTGTCTGATCCAAACTCGATTATTTACATACAGCCTTCATTAAGCTGTAATATTGCTGGATGCGGCGTTAAACAACAGACAGTCAAACAAACTAGTGATGTCTACAGCAAATGCAGTTTTTGCAGGAATGTTGATCAGAGCATGTGTAAGGGCATATGTATTTATGTCGCTTCCTAATCAAAGTAATCAGCCACTGTCACATCGGTATACATTAAGGGGCATTATAAAATGATTGATCTGTTGCATGGTTTATTCACTGAGGCAGGGCAAGTCTTTCTGGTGGAGACGAATCCGCCCTTAATGACCATCAGCGCACAGATTTAACTATTCTCTCACGGATGTGTAGTGGGGGTTGTTTGTCACTCTTGCAGATGTTCAGTTTTAAGCAAAAAAGACCTTTGAAGCGTGAATTTACACAGTTGCCATGGCAATAATGAAATTTGATTTCTTTTGGCTGTTGTTGGTTGTAGCACACCCATCAAATGTTTTAGTTGACGCCAAATGCGTTATTATATCCAGACCTTCCTTTAATTGAGTTGGCACAGTTATATAATTCCCTGAAAGGGCAAGCTGCTCAACTTCAAGGCACACAACACTGGCATGTAAACAGGGGTGTTAAGGACTGTGATTGAAGTCTAGTTTGTAATGAATATATAACGCAATACTGAGTCATGCGGCGTGTTACAAGCATAAATGAAACAACACAAATGACATTTAGACTTGAAAGTACTGTGCCAACTTTGATAATTCCTTCATGTTTCAGATTGTAAGTTTTATTAGATGGCCTTATTGTGTCTCACATTTTTGAAAGGGGGAGGATAAACTCTATGTGCAGGATCCGCTGATCTTGGGGTCGAATCCCCGATTGTTCTGTCAGCTCAGTTCCCTCGTTCATGGGCCTCTCCAAAGAGGTACACGCCGGCGACCTATATTTCTTCCCACATTGAGCTGCATGGATGCCGTGATATAACTGTGCCTTGATTTAGCTTTGCATGTGTTTGTGACCGGTGCAGTCATTGGTGCTGGAAACGCTCATCTCTTCGCGAACACCAGGTATCATCAATATTTGGTAGTGACTCATAAGCATACGCGTATGATATTGCAGGAATTGCACAACAGATTCTGCTTTTATGTTTTTTGTGACTGAGTATGGTTTTACGCCGCTTTTAGCAATATTGCAGCAATATCACGGCGGGGGACCCCAGAAATGGGCTTCACACATTGTACCCATGTCGGGAATCGAACCCGGGTCTTCGGCGTGACGAGCGAACGCTTGAACCACTAGGCTACCCGACCGCCTTTTATGATTATGGAAAGGGTTTTTCGCTTTGTCTCTACGAGCATCACTTTGGTACTGATCTGAAACATCGTTAAGCAACGCTAAACCCAACATTATCTCTCATCCTGGTTTTGTTAAAAGGGAAAACACATCAACCATACAAATAACTAAAGTATATCTTTAATTTGTTCTTCCAGATTCACATAAGACTTCAAACCGGGCCGGCGTTATCTGACTACCACGATGGAGTTTGTCAATATGTCGCATGTTAACGACACAATGAGGGATGTGGATGCTTTGTGCAAAGACCCAGCCGGTGGAAACACAACATGCAACAAACAGTCTCTGGGCATCAATTTGTCAACACCCATTCTCATGCTGTCAACGGGCGTCCTTGGAAACGTCCTTGCCCTTGTTGTTTTGTACACGTCCAAAAAGGAGGTCAGAAAGACGGTGTTCTTCACGATGCTGGCTGGGTTGGCGTGGACTGACGTCATTGGCCAGATGTGTGCAGGACCAATCGCAATTATCACATACGCTAACAATCTCCAATGGCAAGGTGGAGACCCCGTGTGCAAATACCATGGTTTCACGATGGTGTGTTTTGGAATTCTTACCCCACTGTTGGTTTTGATAATGTCCATGGAACGTGTTCTAGCTTTGAGGTTCTCCTACTTCTACGCACGAGTCGTAACAGTCAGAAAAGCCAAGTTTATGATCGTCGGCTGCTGGATATTTACCCTGTCCTTCTGTACTCTTCCTTTCATGGGTCTGGGGACATATGCACTCCAGTTTCCCAAGTCATGGTGCTTCTTGAATTTTCACCGACAGAGCAACACTGACGCGGCGTTTGCCTATTTATTCTCCATCATGAACATCCTTGTCATCTCCCTCATCTTTGTGGCCAACTGTATCGTTGTCGTGACGTTGCTGCAGATGCGGCGGACACGGAGGATCAACAATTCCCCATCCATTGACCGGAGGTTGCGCGTTAGCGGACATCGTCACAGGAACATACTCGAGATGGAAATGGAAACACAGATGGTGTGGTTTCTTGGCGCAATCACCATTGTTTTCTGTACCTGCTATGTGCCCCTCAACGTGAGTATTCGTCAACACAACATCCGAATGCACATTATTTTATCACTATTACCCAGCCTGTTAAAGTTTCTGAGGTTAAAAGTTAAAATGTCTTCAACACTAGATCCAGTATTATCACGCACAACATACACAATTCAAACGTCCACTGAAGAATAGTTGTACAGCTTGTATAAACACAATAAAAGATCGAAAACATATGAAACAAATATCCAATTCATTGCATCTTTGTCTATTTATATGAGCATCTGTAATTTATAACCAGTGATTTGTTCAAATAATGTATTCAAATAAGCTAGATAATGGTTGTAACATTAATCAATAGGATCATCCACACAGCCACGACAAAATGCAAATTTACGGACGTCTGAGGCTTTGTAATTCTATACTTGCACTTGCGTCATGTTTCTGAGGCTTAATTTCCGTTTACTGCATAAGTTTGTGAAAGTGTGCAAAATTGCATTACAAAAAAAATTCAACGAGGGTAATTTCTTTCAAGATATTTCCTGGTGTGGTTAGAACTTTTTAATGGGACGATTCTTGTCATGAGATTGATTGTGAATAACGAAGCCATCTTATAAATCAGGAGGAATCATGAACAGTTGAACATATCTATAACAGTAGCGACCGCTTACTTACGACAATCCTTGATGTGCAATGTAAGGGTACCCAGCATCTCTAAATTACTCATCCATTGTATCAAGATAGATAGGGCAGTGAAACCTCCCATCTTGATGTGCAGAACACCGTCGAAAATAATCCAATTTTCCGTAGCTCGAGAAAAGCAGTCGTTTGATATGAGGCAATATTGTTTTGAGGCGGATTTTACAGGGATCATCATTGTTCTACAATATATCCAATTAACCTGTCAACATTAACATTAAATTTTGTTATCTCATTTCAGTGGTTGTTTGTGTGTGTGTTAATATTCAATTTTATATAATTTCAGGTTCATATCCTTACAAATCAGATCACTGGACAAATAGATGTCAAAAAGGACTTGATAAGTATTCGTCTGGCAAGTATCAACCAAATTCTCGATCCGTGGCTTTACATTCTGTTGAGAAAAGCAATGTTTTTCAAATTCCTCAAAAGGGTCAAGCAATTTGTGGCACAACGGAAACGACCAAGTTCATCACGAAGGCATTTTGCAGCACACATTGAAGGATCTCAGAACGGTTCATTTGCTGCTTACCAGCTACATTCTGTGTCGGGAGGGCATCATAACAGTCATCATTCTCTGAACGAGTGTGTTATTCCCGAAAAAATAAACACCGGAAGTGCTATAGAGGCCACAACGAGGCCGGAGTTAAGGGACACAACTCTTAACGGAAGTAGTGACAGTGAATCGGATGTGTTTGTTGAGCCTCAAAAAAGGACTAAGGCGAGTTTTATCAGTATTGACGAGTATATTGCGGTACACAAGTTGAAGAGGAGGGAATCCACTGGTGGTGGGGACATTAATGGGAACAAAAAGTTAAAGAGATTATACAGCTTACCCGTATATCTGAAAGGAACTGAAAACGATTGTATTGACACATAGCTGTCATGAATAACATTCATCATGTAACATTGATATGTCCATCCAAAGAAGACGACCCATGGTCAGATATTCAAGATTCTATAAGTATAAAGCGTCAACTTCAGACAATGACCAGTCTCGATTATCCGACGAAAGATATTCCATTGGGCGTATAAGGCAACATTGCCGTGACAATTATATGAATGGATCACTGAAAATCAGTGATGACACAAGGTGTTCGACGAAAGGGTAAGCATGTCATGCCCTATCCGTAGCAGCCGCCACTCTCAAAATGTGCATAAAAATATGTTTGTTGCCTGACTGCACAGCAGCTTTCCTGCCATGCGACGGCGACGGCATGAAAAACAGACCAGACAATCAAGTGATGGACCAGCAATCAAGTCACGCGACAGCAAGCATATCTACATACCAATTGATATGAAGATCGGTTAGATTCCACATGGTGGTGAAGACCGTTTCTGATGTCCCTTACCGTGATGTTGCTGGAATATTGCTAAACACGGCGTCAACCCTAACCCACAAACGCAGGATCCTTCATTATAAACTGTCGGGCAAAAGAAAGCACCAAACCATTTTTTATTGTGGCTAAAACAAACATGAAATGGTAATTCGATAGTTATGCACTTGGTACGGATATGATACTTGATTTTTGGTCCATAAGTGTTCCGTGTTTCAAGTACTAATTACAGGGGGCACGGGTGGCCCAGTCGTCTAAGGCGCCGCGATTCGCTGTGCAGAGTTGCGTCCCTTGGGCACGCCTGAAACCTATGATTGTGGGTTCGAATCCCGGTTGGCCCCAAATATTTTTCTAGGTTTGTCAGCACCATACCCGTGCTCGTGGGTTTCACCGAAGTGGTAAACGTCTGAGACCTGCATCACTTCGGGCTTTCCTCCCACATTAAGCTGACACGCCGTGATATAACTGGAATACTGTTAAAAGCGGCGTTAAACCCAACTCACTCACTCACTACTAATTTCAGCCTGGTAACGTTTTGAGAACGTTTCTAATGGTTGGTCAAATCCAATTGTCTTAGCGTACACTTTCTTTTGCCAGGCATTTTAATATATATCAAAATGACTTTTTGCACGCCTACATCGTTTTCCTCACATCCCACGCCCTCATTCAAAAATAATCTCTGGCATTATGTTGAAAAAGGATATGTTAATCAGAGTAGATCGTCATATGTGTTTTGTTTTCATTTTCTAACATTCATATGTCGTCTACTATTTTGACACAAGATGTCGAAGAAAATACTCCGATACTGTGTATATCTGTTCCGTGTGTTCTCGTAGTTATGTAAATATTACAAAATGTATGTAAATATTGTTTATTCAAAGATCAATTATATCTCCACTAGCGTTGTTATCAGCGCGTTTGAAATTCAAAATGGCCTCCCCTGATACATAAATGGCATAAAGTGGAGTTAACAAAAATGTCGTGCTGACAATCAACGGGTTGTTTTAATTATTTACAACTGTTCAACACCGTATCAGTACTTCAAAAAACATATTCACAAAGCAGTAAGCACTTAAACGGAAATCTAGCTGTAGGTATCCACAGAATGCCGTATTTTTATGTACATATATCGTGTTTGTGTGTATAAGTATTTGTACATATGAATTGCAGAGGACAACATATTATTTTCTGAACGAAAAATAATATAACATCGGATAATCATTTTTCACACAGGATCACGTGTTTCATGTTCAGCCTAAATGAAAATGATCACAAAAGACTTTGTGATGGGACATTTGAATTTATTCACGTTTAGTCCAGTAATATATGACTGTTATATATGACATGGTACAAATAAATACAGTATTGTAAAATGCGTGGTACAACTGCAGTATTAATGAAGACACAGTTGATGTGCACATTACCATTTGGAAGAAGAAAAGAAACTGAAGTTTCTATTTGAATTCTTAAATAATCTTCACATTTCACTACATTAAAAGATATCTTGAGTATGAACACTTACTAAGACATATGTTGTGATCATGTTTCTATATTCCCAACAGAAGAAACATCGTGAAACGTAATTGCAGTATTTTTTGTTGCGGATTGGAAAACCAGAGCGAAAGATGCTATGATTAGTCCCTTGCAATGGATTGGGCGACTACCATGGCAACATGTATGCCTTTTATGTTGCAATCTTAATGCTGGAATGTACTTTTCGTGCAAGCACAGATTTCTGTGGCTTGTATTATTGGACGTACATGAACTGACATTCCAAACACTAAATAACCATGACCCAAACCGGTGATAATGTTTCAAATTATATGTCTTTTGTATTGTTATTATAGAAACATGTTGCCTTTTCCTGGACTATGCCTTATTACAATTCATGGGTTTGCAGTTCATAGCTGTATATCATCAGCTGAACATCTGTGTGATCATAAGCTCACAAATATACACGAAAACAAACCTCAACGGAATAATGAACGTCTGACAGAATTCTGTTTATATACTGACACATGAAAACGTTTGGGAAACATCGTGCAATTCGTTATTCACGTAAATCAAGTGTTTAACAAACTTACACTGATTTTTGGCGAATTTCGTTCTTTTTAACATTACCCGGCCGTATTCTGAGACATCCGTCTCCGTCATATCCGGAGTTGAATGTATTTGTTCTGTTTAATACCATATACACAGTAAAGTCTTAGAGCAGAGAACAACTGTATACTTGACACGCCTATTAAGTAGTCACACCTTAAGACAATTGATACTGCAACAATGTCTCTTGAGGCCGTGTGAATTGCTCCCCATGTTGTGCTGCATGTCCCACGCGGGGCATTCTGAAACTCCTTCTTCGTCATCCATCTTGTAAAAAAAGGATACCTTATCTTTCACGAATGTTAAAGGGCTTGGGATAACAGACAGACAGGCGGTTGGTAAATTTAAATAAGTAAATACAGAAATAGACATGATAACTGTTTCACTTGTGTATGTAAAAGATTGTACCAGTCCTAAATTCAAGAATTATGTTTTTCATGTTGAAACTGATATTTCGTTCAAAATCCCTAGATATCGTTTAAGTGGCACAACTGCAATAAAAAACACGTGTTATAGATGGCTTGGAGGGGTGTTGTGTGTCTCGCTGTCACCTTGTTCCAAACAAATCTCCGCGAAGCTCATTTTCAAATAGCTGTTCTGATATGAAACGCATAAGATGTTTATTTTTGTTATAGATGACTTGGAGGCGTGTTGAGTGTCTCGCTGTCATATTGTTCCAACCAAATCTCCGCGAAGCTCATTTTCAAATAGCTATTCTGAAATGAAACGCATGAGATGTTTATTTTTGTTTTAGATGACTTGGAGGCCTGTTGAGTGTCTCACTGTCATCTTATTTCAACAAATCTCCGGGGGGCTCATTTTCAAATAACTATTCTGAAATGAAAAAAACATTATTTATTTACTTAAGAGTTTGCCATACAAACTATATGATATACGCGTTGTTGAGATTTGTTTCTTTTAAAACTTGTGATGTCAGAAGTTCGATTTTATATCGTAAATAATGCCTGTAATGTACAGCCAAAATTCATAATTACCAAAGACGTAAAATATGATCACATATTCTGTCTATGTCGTTACTATGGCAAGTTAGAAATGGTATCTTAATTCGGTGTTTTCAATGAATCTAATTACACGTTCTTTGGTAAATGATGATTGACATATTTTGCTATGTACATATAGTGCACATTTCGTCCTTCGCCTGACGTGTAAAGCCATGTGACATGTTGGTCTCTGCAATGTACAACTGTTTTGTGATATGTACATAGTGTATACAGTAGGTATTGTCAGTAGCATAATTGTGAACAACTGTCATCTCTTATGTGAACTACGCCTGTGATACGTCTCAATAAACATTTAATACATTTATGTTTTTTTTCTCTTGATTTTGTTTCATATGTGGACAGAATGGGCGTGTTTTATTCAAACATGTTTTTTATAAATTCATTTTCAAGAGGTATAATCAGCCTCCGGTAACCTATACTGGCAGAGAAGGGCGACAACATGGATCGGGTGGTCAGGTTAGATAACAGGGTTGATGATTGCGTGTCATCGTCCCCCGAGATCTTGGGGCGTTACTCATAATATCAGTCGACCTGTGAAGATCCGGGGTAGAATAGGTCTTCAGCAACCCATGCTTGCCGTAAAAGGTGACTATGCTTGTTGTAAGAGGCGACTAACGGGATCGGGTGGTCAGGCTCGCTGACTTGGTTGATGCATGTCATCGATCCCAATTGCCTGGATCGAAGGTCATGATGTCACTCACTGGATTGTCTGGTCCAGACTCGATTATTTACAGACCGCCGTCATGTAGCTGGATAATCGATGAGAGCGGCGTTAAACAACAAACAAACAAACATAATATCAGTCACAAGTTTGTGTGGTCCAGGCGTCTATTTACAGACACTCGTGATATAGCTGGGATATTGCTGACAGTTGCGTAAAACAAATAATAGAAACAAACAAAAACATTCAAGCGGGTGTTAGAAACATTCCGGATTACATACTGTAAATGCACGGCACTTCTTGATATAAATTATCTTTGAAGTGAATGTATTACGAAGCGAGTGGCTTTAAGTGTCCGCTTGTCGTGGCATGGGCGACCGTGTTCAAACCCAAACGGAAACACAAGTCCACCGCTCTCCTGCCCAAAGCGCTAGCATCGGCATTAGTACAAGCAGCCACACACATAGACTAACATCTAGTCTCTGAAATGAACATATCGTACAGAAAAAACAGTTGTTCAGTTATCTTAATAAAAATATAATAAAAGGGAGCCCAGGGACCCTCTTCATTTTCATACTGCAGTAATCTAGACTTGCCAAACATTATAGACTTGCATGGGCTGTATTTGATATATATTTGTATCAGGGTCTGTAAGACAGACTACCACACATACTGACACAAGCGCACACATATTTAACGAACATTCGACGGGTGAAAGTGAACGGAAGATGCATTCAATCTAGGCGTTTCAGCTTCATATTGAAGCAGTCGTAAAATGTTATTCCTACAATACCAATCAACGATAACACTGGGGGCCATTTTACAAACAGTAGGCTCCGGAGAGACGGCATGTGTATTGATAAGGGAGGCGGGTGGCCAGCACACTCGTCAAAGTCGCCTCCATTCGCTGGAGTTGCGTCCCTTATGTGTTCCTGAAACCCATTAGCGTGGGTTCGAATCCCAGGTGCCCCCTGATTATGTTTCCAGGTTTGTCAGCACCACACCCCATCTTCCCAAGGTAAGCGTGTCCACTAGCCTATATCAAAGTCTTGTTTCTGCCCTTGCCACATGAAAGCCACTATTCTCGGCTCGACCCTGGCGCCACCTCGTGCAGATCACGAGTTGTGCCCCTTATAAGGAAAACGTGACATCCAATCAGATGGCTGTTCTTATCTCGTATAGCTTCACGACTAAGATGGCGACTACCATACGCGACGACCTAGTCGATTAGAAAACGAAAAACCATTCGCGATTACATCCCTGACACAAATATCATAAGCAATCTTTTCTGGGGGGGGGGGGGGGGGGGGGGGATGATAAAAATGGCATATTCGTGTCAACAAAGCGGTAAATCACTTTCATACGAAGGTGTACCAGCGGTCGTTGGTGTTGATTTTGTGAAACGTTTTACTTAACTCTTACACGAGTAAGACCAGAATCAGTTCGGGCTCTATTCCAACAAGGAGGCAAGGGTGGTCCAGTCGTGTAAGGCGCCGCGAATCGCTGAACAGAGTTGCGTCCCTTG